ACAAAATCAAATTTAAAGATAATAATAATAAATAAAAAAAAGATATAACTCAAAATTATAAAGAATTATACAATTTGAAATTAATGATAAAGTCTTAATATATAATATAAAGTAATATGTTTTTCACAGAAATAAATTTTAACTATAATAGAATATAAAATAATTTTATATTTATAAAACTCTTAACAATAGAACTTATAAATTATATAATTAATATGATTACCATAAATGCTCAAATTTAAGCAACCTCCTACATCATCATTTTTTAAACAATTTTTTGTGAGGATTGCTTAAATTCAAAAGAATTATGCATCATAACATTATGCAGATCAAATTGATTAATGTAAAAAATTTTAAATATCTCTTTTCTCTCAAATCCAAACTTTCATACTGCATTATATTCACGTATCTACATTTGACTATTTACCCACTCCTCTATAAATATAAAAATAAGCAGTAGTTCTGCAAACATTAGTCCCAAAGTAATCAAAGTAAAAAAATGCATTGAAAGAATGGTATATAAAGCATCCAAAAAGCTTGTCATTATTTGTGAAGCTAAGAAGATTGGTATTTTGACTGCAGCGTGTTATTTTGATATTGACAAATTGATGATATCATGATGGATACCTAATAAGAAAAAGTTTAGCAATGTATTATCAAAGAGCTCACATGTTAGTGCTAGCATGATTATAGCCTATCCAGCGGCTAAGGAAGAATTTATCAAGTAGATTCATGATCTTTAGCTTGATAGAATTGGTATAATAATAATAGCTATCAAAATACAAATGATTACTATTCTCAAAATAACCTGTGCAAATTAATATCCAGATATTTCTAATAAATTTCATGCTTCAGATTGCTGGTTTTTTTATTTCTTAAAGCGACACAATCTTTCTTTTCAACATCGAACTAAAATCAGTTAAAAATTATCTGAAGATCTTGCTGAAAAAATCATCTAATTTCAAAATTTTGTAATTCAATCTTGATTATCATACAAGTATGATCTTTCTTACATCGGTAATATAGATGAAACCCCAATTTATTTTGATATGGCTGGTTCTACTACAATTGATATAAAAGGTGTAAAAACTATTCATATTCGAACAACTGGTAATGACAAAAATTGGTTTACATGTATTCTAGCTATTATAGCTGATGGTGGTAAACTTTCACCCATGGTAATTTTCAAAGATATACAAACTCCTGCCAATCTTCCTCAAGGCATCATGATACAAATGCATAAAAAAACTTGGATAGATGAATATTTAATGTGTGAGTGGATAGAGCAAATTTGAAATAAACAACCACAAACATTAATAATAAATAAATCTACCTCACTACTCGTTATAGATTCATTTGAAGAACATAAAACTAAATCAGTATGACAAAAATGCAATATTAGCAATACTTATTTGGCAATTATTCCAGGAGGTTTAACATCTATAGTACAATCTTTAGATGTTTGTATCAATAAACTATTTAAAGAGAAATTAAGAGAAAAATGATGTTTGTGGATGAGCAATGGTGAATATCAATTTACTAAGAGTGAAAATTTAAAAAAGTCTGGATATGATTTAATGTGTCAATAGATTTTAGAGATATGGAATGATATTCTTATAGAAATGATTATAAAATCATTTAAAAAATATGGAATTTCTAATGCATTGGATGGAACTGAAGATGATTTATTATATAATTCTGATACAGAAATTGATAATATAGCTAAAGTAGTTAATGAAAATGATAGTTCTGCTGAAGAATTAGAATATGAAAATAAATAACATAATAAATTTTGTATTAATCTATTATATAATAGTTTTTAATAAAGAGGTTGCTTATTTAACTTTTTTAAGACTTTTGAACTTGAAGAGAGGGAATTGCTTATTCTTGAGGGTTGCTTATTCTTGAGAGTTACTTAAATTTGAGCATTTATGGTAATTATTATATAAAACTTTTAATAATACTTAACTAAAATATTACTTTAATAAAAATAACTATTTGGAATCAAGTATAATTATTAAATATATAAAAATATCATTAATAGAAGAAGAAAATAAAGATAAAATTTTTAATTATATAATATTTATTTATTTACTTCTTAATTTTATATAAATTTTATTTAGTTATATATATATATATATAAAGATCTTTATTAAAAATTTTATTTTATAAATATAGAACTTTTATTTTAATATTTTCTATTCTTTTTTATTATTTTTATATCTATATCTTTAATTTAATTTCTTATTAGTTTTTAGTTCTTTTAAAATAAATATTCTATTTAATAATTTTAATTTTATTCAAAATATTTTTGCTATTCATTAATAATTGAAAAATAGTAAATTTAATAGATTTTTATAATTTAATAAAGATCAGTTAATACTTAAAAATAGTAATTAAAAAGTTATTTATAATCTTAATACTGAATAATAACTCAACTCTAGCATAGTTTTAAAAATATCTCAAGAATCAAAATTAATTATAGAAGAAATCTTAATTCAAGTAGATAAATTAAAAGATAGTACAAGAATAAAATAATTTATAAATATTATTAATATTAAAGTTTCAAGAATAATAATTATAATTAATATTACTTATTAATTTTAATCTAATCAAAGTTAAAAGATAAAAGTTCAGATTATTTTTAATAATTTATTTAAAAATTGAAATAATCAATCTGATAAATTATAATTTATTAGATATTATTACTTTAAATAATTATTAAAAAAATATCAAGATAATATTTTCAAAGACTTTAAATTTTAAAAAGAAAATTAGCTTAATTAAAAGAAATAATTTTAATTAGAAGATATTTTCTTTTTGAAAAATAAATTCACCAGTTATTATTAAAATATAAACTTAAAAAGCTTATAACTTTCAATAAATTATCTATAATAATTTTATATATATAAGAAATAATAAAATTAAAGAAATTTTGAAAGAATTTAATCAGTCTTACTAGAATTTAATCTTATTTAGAGAGATCAAATATTACTATAGTAATATAAATTTCTTTAATTTTATAATTTTTTAAATTTTGACTAATTAAATAATTTTTAGAAAGTATATAATTTTAAATAATTTAATTAGTATATCAATTATGAATTCAGTTATAATTTAGCAATATTTTTATAATACTTTAATAATATTTCAAAACTATAAATATATAATTAGCTCAAAAATTAATAATAATTTATAAATAGTTTATTAACAATTCAGAAATATTTTAAAAATAATTTAGAAATAATTTAGAAATAAATTTTATTTATTTTTCTTTATTATTTTTTCTTTTTAAAATATTTATCTTAATTTTTTATTTTATTTTATCATTTATATTATTTTATAGTTTATTATATATATCTTATCTTTTTATTTTATTTATTTATTTATAGTTCTTTTATTTTAAAACTTATAATTATATATTAAAGTAATAAATAAATTATAAGTAAAGTTTAAATGAAATTTGTAAGATCTTAAAGATATATAAATATTTCTGCTCTCAAATATAAAATAATATACTTAAATAGTAATAATTCATTTATTCTTAAAAAAATACTTGAGTTATACTTATCTTGTAATTTTTCTTGTATTTTTTGCTTTAATATTTTGCTTTCAATTATTTTTTCTATTATAATAGATTATATTTTGATTATTTATATATTTTTCTTATCTAAAAAATATAAATAATGAATACTCTCTACTTAAAATAAATTATGTATATTTTATTTAATTTATGAAGATTTTAAAAGCTTTTCTATATATAAAAGCTTAGTTTTGTTTTTGATATATATTCTTTATTTATCTAATAGTTAAAAAAATACTATTAAAAATTTAGTTAGCATACTAAATCTTTAATCTTTAATTATAATATTTTATTAATTTTAGATATCTATCCTTAGTTTTATTTTTGTGATCACAATTTTCTTTTGTTTTATTTTATTTTTATCTTGTATTAGCATAATACTTATAAATATTAATACTAAAAAATCTTTAGAATAATTATAATTTTCTTTACTTTTATAAATAATTCAGTCTTAATTTTCAAAATTTATTATAGATTATATTCTTGATAAAATCTATCTTCATGAATATAATTTATAATAATAATTATCTTTCTTGATTCAAATTTCAGTTCAAATAATGATATTAATAATAATATATTATTATTATTTATTTTAGTATTAATATTATTTAGAAGATATATATTATTACTTTCATATATTTTTACTAAGATTCATACTTTTTTCAAATTTAATTTTGTTAAATAAAAAAGATTTTATCTTTATATCAAAGTCTAATATATTATCTGTAATATTCTTCATTATAATACTTTCAGTTACAAGACTTGTACTTTCAGTATTCACTGAATCATAATTATCATTACTATTAATATAATTAAAATTATTTAAAAATAATATATTATTATAATAAATATTAACTATTTCAGATACAAATTTGAGTGAATCAGAATTGACCACTTTAGAAGTTGGATTGGATTTCTCAAAAATAGAAGCTTTTATATTTATAATGTATATCTTTAGCAAGAGATATTAATATGTGGTAATGTTAAGTAACTTCATAAATTAGACTGCTTTGGCTTAAGATTCTTTTAAAACTATTAGTATTGAAATAAATAAAATAAGACAGTTAATAAGAGGTAGACATCAAGCTTTATCCAACTTAGCAAAGCAAGATAGTTTACCTTACATCATTAGAGGGCTAGCTTAGAAGTGAAGTTGGCTTCTGGTGACCATTTTATATTGAGAACTATAGAAATTGAGTGTGAAAATCTTTGTCGATCTCTTAATTGAATACACTTGCCAGGGACAAATTTGATGACCGATATTGAATTTTTTGGGTACTATTCAAAATATCCCCACTCTAAATTAAATAATATCCCCGTACTATAAAAGGTAAAAAAGGGGGATACTTTACTAAGGCGCTATGGCTTTTAGTTTCACAAAAAGATTTTATCGGTTATCCAAAAAAAAAAATTTATAATGAAGGTTTTAGTTTGTGGCGGCGCTGGTTATATTGGTTCACATTTGATTCGTGAGTTACTTTCATTACCGAACTATGAAGTAGTTATTCTTGATAATCTTTCTCAAGGACATTCAGGAGCTATTCCAGCTGGACTTGCTTTTGAAAAAGTTGATGTCAGAGACAAACAAAAACTCGAACAAGTTTTTTCTAAACATCAACCAGATGCTGTAATGCATTTTTGCGCTACAATATCGGTTGAGGAAAGTGTAGTAGACCCATTACATTATTACGATAATAATGTAACTGGAACAATATATTTATTACAAACAATGAATAAGTATAAAGTTAAATATTTTATTTTTTCATCAACTGCCGCAATTTTTGGAAACCCAGAAATAAATCCGATTGCAGACGACGCGTCGACAAAGCCAATTAATCCATACGGAGACACAAAATTAACTGTGGAAAAAATTCTGGGCTGGTCAGAAAATGCTTACGGGATCAAATACGCTTGTCTTCGATATTTTAACGCGTGTGGTGCACACGAAAGCGGAGAAATAGGAGAAGATCATGATCCCGAGACTCATTTAATACCACTCGTATTGCAAGTTGTGCTTGGTAAACGAGAACATATAAAAATCTATGGGAATGATTATGATACGAGAGATGGCACATGCATCAGAGACTATATTCATGTTACTGATCTAGCCACAGCCCATATCAAAGCATTAGAATATCTTGTAAGAGAGAATAAATCTCAACATTTTAATCTTGGAAGCGGAGAAGGATATTCAGTAAATGAGGTTATTAACGCTGCTAGAGAAGTGACTGGACATCCGATTCCAGCTATTGTACATCCCCGAAGAAAAGGTGATACCTCAATTTTAATCGCTGGTTCAACGAGAGCCGAGAATATACTTGGATGGACACGTAAATATGATTCAATAAAAAAGATTGTAGCTACCGCTTGGAATTATCATCAGAAACACCCGAACGGCTACAATTGAGAATTTTATTTATATATTATAATTTATTTATTTATTTTATTTATTTGTTTATTTCTTTATTGAGATTTACTTTTTATTCCATAAACATGAAGTTAAGCTATAAATTGATGTAATTTTATTAATTATTAGAATAGACAAATTAATCATATTATCATATTCAGCTCAGAAATTTAATATACAGCCAAACCTTGATATACTGATATTTTTTTTTAGCAATGACTAATTAAAAATTTCGAGATTAATAATTTTGGTCTTTTGATGGCAATCATGGTAAAGAGTTAATTAAGTATAGTTCAAAGCATTGAATATATTATTAAAATTTGTCTTATTTAATCCGATTTCATCTTAATCTGCTACAATAAATATGCTGCTTTATTTTCACAATAATTAAATATCACGATGTTCAAAAGTTTCAGGTTGAAATTTAACCTATTCACAAATAATCATTACTTTTACTAAAAATACAGTTTTTTATTTATGCGTGTGCGTGGCTTGAATTTATGTGACTGTTAAGCAGTAGATTATTATAATCACAAATTATTTTGAGTTTTAAAAGCATCCCAAGCTTCATTAAGAGCAGAAAATACACCATTTGCGATAAGTCGTTGTTCAATGTTGGTTGATGAATTAAGCTTCAAGCATTATTACAAAATATATTAGAAATATATTTTAAATGAGATAAATCAAAGCATTATTATAAGAGGATACAAACTTTATCTGGATGCACTTTCCCAATAGCCTTAATGTAGCGCACCTTTACTTGTGATGGCGTCACTAATTCATGTAATCCAATTTTTTGCCATCCCAGACCATCCCAAAGCACCATATCCAAACTACTAATCAATGCACGCAAATTTGTTTCTTTGCCACTCTTCCATAGTAATATTTTTTGATCAACTTGATCCTTTAAGCTTAGTTTTTCCATCTCTTCAATTTCTTGTTGTCGAGCCTGACTACGTAGCTTTGCAACTGCAGGACTATTATTAATTTCTGAATTTGTGGAATAAGACGAGGAAAAGGTTGTAGTGGAATGGGCGGCACTCGGGTCAACAAATCCAAAAGAATTTATGGGAACCCCAAAAGTGCTTGGTGAAAATGATTGTGTAAATGAAGACTCTACTCTTAAACCATGATTATTACTATTCAACAAATTTTGTGAATTTAAAGAAGTTTTTTCGAAATTTTTATTGATATCTCCTTTTGATAGCATGTTGAGAGCTTTTTGACATCTTCGAAGACCATCATTAAAGTTCTTTGAATTATCTACAGGAAATGAAATAATTAACTTTTCGTAATCGTCCTTTGCGTCGTTGTATTTTTCCATTCCTTCATAAGCAGAAGCTCGTCTATACAATGCTTTTAAATATTGTTCTTTCAAGTTAATGTCAACACCTGATGGAGGTGGTAAATTGAAATCATCAATTAGAATGAGTGCTAACGAAGAATCCTGTGCACATCCACGTTGATCTCCATTTTTAAGTTTTGCAGCGGCTCGATTATTATATAAAAGCACAAGATTTAGATGTTTAGGCGGGAGAGAATCAATAGCTAATGAATAATATTTTTCCGCTTCTCCAAATTGTCCAAGTTTAAATAATTCATTGCCTTTTGCCCGATGAGTTTCAGAAGCACGTATACTTTCCGGTGTTGCATATATTACTGGTCTTGGAGACTTTGATGGCGGTGGTGCAGGCGATGAAGAATGAATTCGAACAGAGGGCGGCTTTGCAGGGGTCGGAGGAGGACGTCGTCGTGCAGGCGACATATAAATTTCGTCTGATGTATTAATATTCAACGTGTTAGATTTTTGAGCAGCAGAAGGTTGATGACGAGCAGATGAAACATAAGTTGGATAGTGTAAATTTGTTGTAATTGGTTTTGTGGAACGTGATGGGGGATCAGGTTTTGAAAATTTTTTGGATAAAACATTAATTTGGTGATTTTTTTCATATGAATCATCATTCTCAGTTAATTTAGATAATGAAATTTCAGGTCTAGTATTAGGAATTAAAGGCGGTTTTTGTAGATCTTCCTCGCTGCTAGAATCTTCATAAACATCTTGAAATTTTTCAAAGTTCGAAAAAGATCTGGGATTCTCATTTTTATCACTATCATCGTCATCAGACTCAATTAGATCAGTGTTCTGTAACCATTTCGGTCTCCCATCAGAAGTTGGCGGTGTTTGTTGGAAATCCTCCAAAGCCTCTTTAACTTTTTCCTTTGATTGTTTATATATTGCGCTTGCTTTTTTAAAAGCATTTAATCCTAATTCACTCGCGGAAGATATGAGTTTTTCCTTTTGCTGATGAAAACTCTGGCCGGCAAAAGAAGAAACAGATGAGGTCGAACGATCGCTACTTCCTTCACCATCAGAGCTACTTTTACCGTATGTTCGAGATTTTGGAACTTGGAGATTCTTATTTTTCGGCAAATTATACTTATTTGTAATATATCCGCCTTCGCTACTATCTCCATCTTCAGGCAATCGATAATCTGCTGTATTGGCTCGACGTCGATTAATAGAGGATCGTTTTGTATGTTTACGATTATCAAACACTTGTTCCTCCGCTTCCTTTTGATGAATTAATATTTCAATAGCAGCCTCTAAATCCAGCCCGCTATCTGTTGCAGCCAGCGCTGTTTCTGCTTGATTAGCTGTAAATCCCATATCCACAATTTGTGCAATTAAATGGTCTTTTGAAGAATCCTTATTATTGGGACTTAACGAATGAGACCCTGTTGAACTAATTAAACTTTCTTGAGATTGATTCGTAATTATTTTTTTCTAGTAAAATTTCAGTTGAATATCATCAGCAATATATCATCAAAAAATTTCCCAAGGATCTATCATAATGCCTTACCGAGGATCTTGGAGGCTTAGTGGGAGGAGGTGGTGAACTATCAGAATCTTTTCGATGAATAGGTTCGGCCAAAATCCCAAGTGGGTGGGCTTCGTCGTTCTCAATTACATTGACTGTAGAAAACTCCATGGAATTTGGTATATTTTCGTCAATGTCCAAATCCAACAAATTATCAATGGGTTTAGATGAGGACTATAAAAAGTTGATATTTTTGAGTAAATTATTTTATTAATCAATACAAGTTTCATCTGTACTTTTTATAATTCAAATACCGGTGATGATCGAGTCGTTTTCCCAGATAAAAAATCAAAATCCCAATGTTGTTCTGTCGTGGATGGAGAGCTTTGAGACGTCGAAGACTGTGATCTCCTAATGTAATCAGTTATCATGGGCTATTCATTTACAATTTAATACAAATAAACAAAACATAATAATCAATATTTACAATTGGTTCAATGAATGATTCTTCGGGATCTCATTTTTATTGCTAGAGCCTAATATATCTCCAAATAAAGCATCACCATGCTTTTGACTTTCAGTCTTTTTCGTTATCCCTATTAACCTAACTACTGCTGGTGGTGGTGTCTGAGCAGATCTTTGCTTTCCAAATGAATCATCTTTTTTGTATGTTTACGCTCTGATGATTGGTATTTCTATTGCCAATGCTAGTACCAGTAGACTCATATTTTTTTCAAAAAAATGTTCTGTTCAGCTTGTTGCTCTTGTCCTTGCAGTCTACGCTGCTCGTTTAATGAGAGACTATTAGGCGCATTACCATTCGAGGTTGATTTATTGTCGTTAAAAGACACCAAATTATCAAACAAATTGTCACTATTATTGTTATTGTTCATTTGAGTAGCCACTTTGTTGTTCTTGCTATTATTATTATTATTATTATTATTATTATTATTATTATTGTTAACATTGCTTGAACTAGGAGGAGTTCTAGTTGGTTGCAAAGGAGTAAACGATGCAAGAGGCGGGCTTGAAGAGGAAATTGATTCCCCTGAAGTCACATTATTATTATTATTGAATCTCTTAAATACAGGTGAATTGGCATTTAGAGCTTGTACTTGAAAAAGGTTTTGCACGTTACTATCAATCGAGTCAGTTGCGGAAGTTGAGTTTAGAGTTGACGCTCGAAGTCCAGATGAAGTTGAGCCATTATTAGTGCTTCTTAAAATGTTTAAAGACGCGTTGCCTTGTGAGCGTATAGCAGTAGGTTTACCAGTTGAACTGCTCCAAATCAAATCATTCAAATCATCCATTTTCGCGCGTTTTCTTTTATTGAAGAAAAAGAATCAACATTAACTATGCATATATAAATATAGTTAGTTACTTTATCATCTACCATCAATTTAGCTAAATACGGAAATGTCATTTAAAATATCGTATAAAAATAATTATGACAATAAATATAAATCTTCGAGATTATGATTTTATACAAAATAGCAATCTATTACAAATCATAATAATATAATAAGCTCTAAATACGGTTCCACCCATTTCCACGAATTTTTGGGGAGGGTCTAAAAATGGGAAGAGGATGCGCTTCAGTATTAAATACGTATTTATCGAGTGGTAAAGATTGCGAATCGGGATCTTCAAAGAGAAGATAAAGATATTTTAAAGTTTCAGCCTAACAAAACACAATTGGTTGTTAATAAAACAACAAATAATAATGAAGACGATGATGATTTTATCTATTACTAACCAGCCAGAACGTTTCCATTTTATCAAGTCTACCTGGAGGTATCGAAGTTACATCAATAAGCGCGCTGTATCCTCCCCCATCAACTTTTGCGTATTTTTCGAATGCTTTGAAAATCCGCCATCCCCATTCTCTAAATGCACAGAAAAAACATCAGCGAAAACAATAATCCCACTGAAATTCATTAAAGATGAAATAATAGTCACCTATATCTATTATCACCAGTGATACGCCAAAGCACAAAGAGACTTTCGACAGTTTCTGGTCTTAATAAATTATGCGCATCTCTATGTTTAATGATCATATCATCAACTCCATTTTCGTCGGTTTCAAAAAATGTTATTTCCGGTGCTAAGCCAGTAGCCGTTTTGAAATACATTAGTACACACGTTTCTGTCAACATCTTTGCGATTAATAAATTTTCTTGCGCTTCGCCGTTTAATTTCGTGTAATCCTCGACCTTCACACCGCCTGTAGCACCAAGAGCCAATGTCCCACCAAGAAAACAAACGAGGTGATCCATTTTTTGGAAAAATACGGCTATCATAGTATGCAAGTTCACCAACGTATAGTAATTTGTTTGGAAACGAACGAGCTATGAGTCGATTTTTCATTCCTCGCATGGCTTGAGTGTACATGCGATGATAGAATGGCTCAGTACGATCAGTTTGCAAATATTGCTTCAGAAGATATTCTTCAAATTTAGTTATTTTCTTTATTAATAATGATGATGATGATAATAATAACAACAATAATAATAATAATAATATATTTATATATGTGTTTATACCATAATAGCTATCTCCGCGAGCACCCAATGTAATCTTCTGTCCCTGGAAATTACCGGTAGATGGACTGCATATAAAGTGAACGAAATCAAGATAATTATTATTAATTTAGAGCAAGAATAAATTTGTTTGGTTGTTGTGAATAGAGAAAGGAACCTTATATATATAGGCACGAGACCATCCAATTTATCCAAATCGTCTATATGAAACATTACGCTTTCCGCATGACGCCAATATTTATCATCGCCTGTTAAATAGCTTAAATATTTAAACTCTAATTGTAAAGTTGTAGCTTCCGAGACTGAACTAGCCCCTTGAGCAAAGTGTGCAGCTATTCCCTGTTGGGTTGCAAGATTTACAGATGCGAAAGGAACATGTGTCGGGGATTCGAAAGCACCAAGTAATCTGTCACCAAGATCTTTAGCTTTTGTCAAATACAAGGTATCATTACCCGATAAATGATACGCACTCAGCAAACCACCTAATACGCGTATAGTGGTTTCAAAAAGTGATACCTCAGCATCTATATTAAAATCAAGCTTATTAGCGACCCAATCTCTTGCTTGTATATATTCTTCGTACAAATTCATAATAATCATCGTATCCAATGAATCAATTATAGTATATCCAATGCCGCCAAGATCCGTTAAATTTGAACCGCTTCGTGAAATCGGATGATACTCGTCGTAACCCCACGCATCACGCACGTATCCATTCCAAGCATGCTTGAAGGCATTACGTACAGCATACTGACGACGCGACCATTGTCTTTTAACTGATGCTTCATCATCAATTGTCTCAAATTTAAGGAAAAATCGGTATAATCTTAATAATATTAAGAAGGATACGAAAGCAAAAAATATCCTAAGGACTATTTTAAGCTAGAAAATGATATGGTATAGTGAGCTAATGAAGAGCCTCCGGATTAAGTAACTATTTTTGGATTTTCTTACTGTAAAAAAGAAAAAATGATACAGCTGTAAAACGCAAATATAACGAATCTACTAAAAATGTTTATAAATTAAATACTTACCCTTTAACATTCTAACAGTAACTATGTAAAAAAATAAATGAATGATAAATAATAACTACCAACCCACAACAAATGATCTAATAAATAATATTGTATAGTAAAAATCAAAGTATACGTACTACACCTGCTACCAACAAACAGTTCACATCAGCAAGTGACGAGGTACACTATTCAACAGAAGCAAAACAACTCTTTTGGTATTGGGAAGAAATTAGAATTGCAGTAAACGTTTTTTTTATTCCCAGCTATAAAAGGAAAAAAATTGACCATGATTGAACATATAGATATTTTAGTCTTCAAAATTTTTTTGCATTTTTTGAGTTACCAGTATTGTACAGTGTCACAAATTATATTTGTTTTTCCCAAAAGAAGATATATTTTACATTTCATGCTATATTTTTTCTGTTCCATTTTTTTTTCTATATTCTTTACGATCGATATCGATTCTGTTGCGCTCTACCACGCACACTATTTCCCAATACATTATTAAAATTATTTCTTCCTCGTCCGCTACCACCACTACCTTTTTGATATGTAGTGCGTTTTTCGGTGTTTTGATGTTGTTGGTTAAATTGGCCTTTATAAAAAGAAAGTAGATTATGATTATGAGAAAAATACATATTTGAGCTGAGATCCTATCATTTGTTACCTTTTTGCCTTTGCTGATCTTTTTGATTTTGCCCAGTTTGCTGTTGCTTCTGTTCCAATAAACGTTCATTATTTTCAACAAAAGTCACAGCCTTTTCGGCAAACATCAACGCCAATTGTTGTACTTTGGTGGGCTCGACACGGTGTAACACAACAGCATTGTTCACTTGATCCAAAGACGCCGCTAATTCTTCATTCCATATCATTTTAGAGATGATCGAAGTGACCGCGTTGATTGGTAGACCAAACATTGTTCCAAGTTGTTCGAGTCCGAGAGTTGTATAATATGCTGAATACGTGAATAAGTAAGTACGAAGGCCTTCCTCTTGGATCTTGCGATTCAGCATCTCTTTGATTTTCTGAGTTTCCGGCATTAGGTCCCATATTTTTATCGCTCCTATTAATTCTTGACACCTTTGCCATTCGCCGCCAGCCAGCGCTTTTGCAGCTCCCATTATATGATCTCTTGTATTTTCAGGTGGACCTGAAATTATTAATTGAATGCATTAAAACCCCTTTATACTTGTATTCTTGTACAACGTTGAATGGATAAGAAGCATACCGCTAAATATTTGTCTCTCATTGTAATCCAACATTCTCCTAAATGGTTTACTAATGACTTTTTTCCGAGCTTCTGGATTAGAACCAGCAGCAGCCATACTGGGTATTTCCAATAGCATCGAACAAGTCAGATATGCGCATTCCAACAATTCCAGATTAATATGCATATGGAATGGTAATTGACGCTGTCGATCTAATTTCTCTTGTTCGGGTGGAAGTTGAGCATATCGTTGCAATTGTAAGCCCTATAATTTTATACCATTCCGGTAAAGAAATATGCAATATTATAAAAAAACATGAATAAAAAGATAAAACACCTGAGCCAACAATTCTTTCGTTCGACCAGTTCCGCATATCTCCTGCAAGCAGCTCTGAGCTTCTTTGATCATCCCCTCACGGAATGCGCAAAGACCAACTTGTACCATAGTTCGGTTGTGCAGAATTTGAGTTGCAACATCCGCTTGATGAATTGTCTCTTGTAAATGTGACATTAGCAACATATCTCTTGCCACGTAAAAGCGATTGTGTAAAGCATGATGATAAATATGACATAGCATTGCACGTGTACGTAAAAGTGACGCGCCTTTTTTGTACAGATATACACAGAGTGCGTGTATTAGGTCTGAGGAGTCTTGAGTTACAGTTGGAGGCGTAATTTCTGAACTTAAATCGGATGGAAGCAATTGTTTGACTGTATTTTCTACTGTTTGTATAACTTGATCCGGCTTAGGAAACAGAGCAATAATTAATTAAGGAATATGGATTAAATCGGCATGAATCTTTTTTTCAAGTACCTTGTAATATAAATGCTCCAATCTTCTCATAATAACCCGACTTGTACTGTCGTTCAATTCATTTTTCTCGAAATAGATTTGACCACGCACAATCGTCGCATATAATTCAGTTTCATCTTTCAATCTATCCACATAATCGGTTGTATGCGGATCAATATTTTGAAGCGATTTCGTGAATTCATCATCCAGACGATCTATAAAAGAAACGATCGAACCACGAATCCCATAAATTTGATCAGATTCAATTGTTGGCTCCTTTTCCTCTTGTTCATCTTCAACATCTTCATGGATAATAAATTGCTTGTTATTCTCAAGAATCGCTAAAAGTTGATTAATTTCTTTCTGGGTGCTAATAAGAGAAAAACGTTGAATTAACTAACATATCAAACTCTTTATATAGTTGATTGATGAACAAAAAAAAGCCATAGTAGAATACAAACTTTTTCCACATTTCGGCGCCCATGTAACCACTCATACTTTGATTATAGTCAAATTGAGCTGGAATTAAAGCGAGCAATACACGAATTTGTTGATATGGTGTATTTGCAACTAACAATAAAGCATGTAAAACTCTGATTTGATCCAGACGATCAGTATTCTTAATAAAAAAAGAGGGATTATAAATGGTAAGGAAAACATAGATATAAAAACAAATGAAAAAAAAGATTCTCAATAACCACCTTTTTGCCTCTTGCTTCTAAGACCTCTTTTAATTTTTTAAATAAATTCTCTGCTGTGTATTCAACGGGTTTGCCACCTTTTCCAACTGGTGTAAATGATTCGTCTGTTATCTCTACATCGATAGTTGGTACAATTTCCCGTTCGATTATAACATCTTCCTCATCATTTTCTACGGAAACTGGATTCTTTAGGAGAAAATAATTTTTTATTATTATTCAAATTTAATAATGATTAATTAGAGCAATATTATTAAATACATACTTTTCGCCATTTTTCTATATCTTCTTCATGAATTTTATTATTCTTTTTTAACTTTTGTTTCATCGCGACTAGAGCTTTCGCATTCGATGGATTCATCTTTTTCTTCGCATCTTTTTTCATAGATTCATTTAGGAAATCTTCAAGCTCAGCAATAGCTTTAATATAAAGACGTGGAATTTCATTTTGCGGAGGCATTTTCGATATGACTTTATTGAGTTTATCAAATTCTAAAAAATTTACCGTAAGATGTATGAGTTGATTGATTAGCAGGCAATTTTGATAAAATAACATGAAATGGGAGAAGAAAAAAACGTTAAATTACCATTAGAAATGACAACCCAATCATTAATTTTTTGGGCATTCTCCAAAGTCTTTATTGTCGACTCTAATTCTTCAAGACGCTTATCTTTATGCGATTTTACAACTCGTTTCTCATCCCCCGATGATTCTTCAGAATCAGATGCAGAAGCAGCCCCTTTTTTGAAACGAGATTCTGTAGGTTTAGTGGATTTATTTTTATCTTCTTCAAGTTCATCTGAATCTTCTGAAAGTTCTTCGTCATCGGAAAGATCTGAATCTGACGCTAGAGATCCTTCACTTTCCGAATCTGAGCTGCCATGAAAGAATCGAGACTTTTCTATGTCAGACATTCTTATGCCTTTTTCTCTTCTTTTTTTGGATTAAATAATAGAATTTAATAGAGTGAAGATTTGGATCTTGATATAATTGATTTCCTTATAAATCTTTTCTGGTGAATCTAAATAGAGAAAGAATTATTTTCAATAAGTTTTATGCCCTTCGAATCAGATTATTATTCAAAATAAAGTAAATAGAAAACGAATCAGTTTATTAATCAAAATAGAGTAAATAGAAAATATTTAAGCTAAAACTGCAAAGATACATTTTGATCAAATATGTTTCTTAAAATTTTTAATGTTTCAAGAATCTTTGTAACGTAATGCTTGGTTTTTCCACGTTTTCTAGAATAGCCTGACTCACCTTAACTTTCCAAAAACACGGCCAAACAAAGGATCGCACCACAAAATACGTGAATGCTGGAGAAAGTGAAATAAGTCACAGCAGCCTTTTTTTTTTAATTACATATAATCTTTTTTTGGGATCAGTGGTTTTTTTTCTAAATTAGGAAGTAGTTTTGTAACAACGCGGATGATGGTATTTATCGAATAAAAAAATGTTTTAGGCGATACAATTAATTCCAGATAACGTCATTTCTTTTGTTTGCATTAATCCTCGTGATGACATTATAATTAGAAAGGCAAAGTAAAAAGGTTATTGCTGAATTTATTTTTAAAGTTTTAAGGAGGAGGTTGATGATGTTGAGATTGTAATGACAGTGTTGTTAGTGATCATGGTAATGAATAATTGGAATTAAAGTTTTTTTCTTTTATCATCACAAATATCCAGTCAAATTCTCTGTGATCGTTCGGATTACTGTCATCTCTTCATAAATATCACATAGATCAATCTCGTAACTGATCGACGGATCTAACGCGATTTGTTCACTTTGTAACGCGATAATTCTCTCTGCTAAAAGATATGTCGCCTTACCGTGAAAATTAAATTTTGAAATTCAATGAAAAAAAACGATAATAAAAAAAAATGCAATCAAATAATTGAAATGTACATAAGCGTCATTAGCCGCATAATCGATCTGTTCATTACTAAGTCGCCAATAATCCCAATTGCTTTTCTGAATTTTTTTGTTTTTGACTATTTGATGGTCTAACTTAAATAGAAGTTCTAGTGTGAAATCACGGTTTCAAGCCATTTTTTTTTTAATAAATTAATAAACAAGAATGTACGCTCACACGTAAGAAATACGTACCAAAACTTCTACTAATGTCCTCAATGACTGCACTTTTCGTTGATTGATGAAACCATCCTTCTTTACTTGTCTGCCCAATGGTCCCAACTCCACCAAACTCTTGCAGTTTACCTTATAATCTCGAAAAAGTTTCCTGCCATCTGCGCGTATATTTGGTCCAACTTTGAGTATGCTTGAATTTTCCATTAATTCTCGAAGACGCCGAGGAAAAATTCCCATCACTGATAGATGAAATAAGAATATTGTGGACGCATCACAAAGTTGCAATAATGCGACACGAGATGGTGGCACGGGAAATACGCGCCATTCCATATCAAATCCAAATAACTTCGATCTGGAAGATAATAATAAAATTTATTATTAAAAAGAAAGAAAAATCTTGACAACTCATCATTTAATAAGACTCACCCATTCGTTGATATTAACTCGTCTGCCTTACCCATATCTCGAACATACTCTATCTTGTATTTCCCGTCATTTTTGTAAGATAACGTAGGAAGACCGTTATCGTACTCTTTATTAACAATTTTTATAGTTTTGATAGATTTTGTTGCTCGGGCAAATTGGGCTAAATTCGCGTAAGTCCTTTTTCTTGTTATTTTTTCTATCGAAACTGTAGCCCCCTCTGCATCATGTGTTATTCTTGACTTTCTTTTTGTCTTTATCACTGAATTGGAAATGCAAAGTACACTTATCATACGACTCCTGTTCTTTAGTGTCACTAGAATACGCTCAAAACTCCTCTTGTAACTTCCAATAATAAATAACGCGTAGTTCGAATAAAAATAATATTAAATTATTAGCAATTTATCCATTAAACCTGAAATTTGTAAACTCACTTGAACCTCGTACCCGCTAACATTTCTAATTGATAAACGTGATGATCATCGCGCGTTTATATTACGCGTGTTTTATATCACCATACATAGATTTTAATCTTCACAAGTCAATCTTTTGCTAAAAAAGAACAAACAGCCAGTGCTATCTTGCATATCGGCGCAATTGTGATGTATTTTTCACGTCACTGAATTATACCACACTCGGGGGGAAAATTAATCTCATAAATAATGCTGTAGAAGTTCTTTGAACTTTATCAGTAATATATTATCTGCCATCAAAAATGGCTATTAACAGAAAAGAAAAGCAGCTCATCGTGTATCGTCTGGAATTGGAGGCTGAAGGGTCTCTTCCCAAAGATAAACAAGTAAAGAGATTCACGCGTTTTTTTTTCCTAAAAGTTTATCCTATGTAGCGGCGGTCGTTGATTATACTCTTTTCTCTAGTACATACGGTTACCGCCACCTATAATACCATACGTTCTTAGGTTCAATATAAGAGCGGGTTCTCCAGCCTCTCATGGCGGTGTTTTATACACAAATTATCCAATTTCGGGGTAACTTATTTTAAATTTTTTTTAAGGTCTACAGTTTTACGCGGCTAATCTTTCGTGATTCTTAGGGGAGAATTTGACAGAAACAAATACTATTCAAAAAAGTATGTTGAAATGTTTGTTGATTATTTTTTTTAAAAAAAATATCAATTTGATCTAATCTTTTTTTATTTTGTATGTAAATCCGCAATTAGCTTTCCTACCGATTTTTCGAGATCACTCAATATTGACATTGTGATTCGAATGTCTGGCGCGTTTGACTTCTATGTAGAACATCGTGCTGTGTCAACCTTACCTGGCGAGGTGTTAACTTCTATCGAGCGCACAGAAATATTTCACTTTAATGTTGATCCCTTGTTACATATTCTCCCACGTCGTAGAATCCTCTCTTCAAAACGTGTTTCCTCGTTGAAAAGAGTCCCGCTTCCGCTTGATAGCCTTGTCATTGAAACAGTACTACCGAAATTACTTGGTCCGCTTAATAAATGGGATCAACACATCAAGGCTATAAGTGAACTTGGATATAATATGATTCATTATGTTCCCATACAGGCACGCGGGATCTCAAACTCTCCTTATTCTTTATATGACCAATTAGCCTTCTCGGACGATCTGTTTGATGGCACAGGTCGTAAAAAAAGCATGAATGAGAAAATTGATATTTTACGCAATACTCTGAAAAAATTTGAGGATGATTATGGGATCTTGAGCTTGACGGATGTAGTTTGGAATCATACTTCATGTAACAGTAAATGGTTAGAAGAGCATCCTGAGTCTGGTGAGATCTTGTATTATTCTTCCTCCTTATACTAATATTATTATCAAATGACTATAAAAGATTTGAATAACTATTATCATGTGTTACTCATAAATTTTTTGTTCCATATAGGTTATAATTTGCATAATTCGCCTCATCTAAACCCTGCATATGAGCTTGACACTGCTTTGCTCCAACTATCTCGAGATTTGGCTAAACACGATCTTCCAACGTTGCTTCACTCGGAAAACGATCTTAATAGGATTTTAGATTACATTAAAAGTCATTTACTCCCTGAAATACGCCTATGGGAATATTATATAATTGATGTCAAAGATTCGGTGGACAATTTAAGAACAGCATTAGAAGCCAAACTAGACGGGGACCACGAGATATTCAAAGATATTGATATCGGAAATCTTTCTTTGCAACAACAAGCAGATTTATTCTTAAAATATGCAATCTCAGGTCAAGATAAATTTGGTACGAGATTTGTAAAAAAAATCTGCGTCAAAAAAGCAATCGGATTTCTGAAAAAATGGAGCGAAGGCTCGGAATTCCAGACCGCTTACAAAACAGAACAGGATAGAATATATTCGGAGCTTCAAGCTGGATGGCAAGAAAGGGAAAACGTTCGACTGGCGAAAATTGAAAAGAGAAGACTTGAACGAGAGAGGATTAGTAATCTAGAATCTGAAAAAGAACGAATCGAACGGGAAAGACTTGAACGTGTAAGGTTGGAAAAAGAAAGAATTGAAAGAGCTAAGCTTGAGAAAGCTCGGATCAAACAAGCTCTAAAGAAAGTCGGAAGACAATTTGAGCATAAGGCTGAAATTTCAGTTGAAACTCAAATATCTACAGACACTTCGAATGAAAATAAAGAAGAAAAAATTTCATCAAATTCAATACAGAATGGGAAAGGAACTGATAAAGACATTTTAAACGAAGAAGAGAAAGTTACAGTTAAAAAATCTCAAGAAGGAGCGGAGGTAAGTGTGGCAAGTACTGGAAAAATAAGAATCGATGCCTCTGATGCAGTAGAAAACACCAGTGTCACAGTTGAAGTTGCTAAAGAAGAATCACCAAAAAATCCCGAGGAAAATGAAAAATCTGAAAAAGAGCCCACAAAATCCGATGAACCTCCCGTACAAGTGCCTACAGTAGATCCAAAAGAATTTTATCTCAAGAAAACTGAAAAAGAGCCCATAGAACCCGATGAACCGCAAGAGCCTCCTGTACAAGTGCCTACAGTAGATCCAAAAGAATTTTATCTCAAGAAAATCGAACAATTGCTTAACGAGATTAATCTTCGTTTCTATAGACTTTATGACGACGACGTTTTAGTTATCATAGAAAACTTATTTAATCGTATAAAGTACATGCGATTAGACGGACATGGGCCAAAAATGGGTGAAATTACAAAAAAGTAATATTTTCACTTGTTTTCATTATATTATTTTTTGTATAATAATACGAATTTTTAATCGATTTGTGACATGTAGTTCTCCTTTGATCGAAACTTATTTTACCCGCCTACCATTAAATGAAACTACGCGTAAACACCCAGAAGGTTCTTTAGCTGTTGCGAATAATGGATGGATCTGGAATGCGAATCCTCTGCAGGATTTTGCGAGCAGCGAGTCATATGCCTATTTAAAACGAGAGGTGATAGTTTGGGGTGATTGTGTAAAATTACGCTATGGAAAAAGCAGGGTAAGCCTATATAATATTTTATGACATTATTTCATTTCTTATCATTTTCTATTAATTATGATTGATAATCATTTTTTAACTTACAATCAAAAGGAAGAAAATCCTTGGCTCTGGGATCATATGACCAAGTATACTGAACTATCAGCTTCATTATTTCACGGGTTTAGAATAGATAATTGCCATTCGACTCCAATTCATCTCGCCAAATATTTACTTGATAAGGCTCGACGTATTAAACCTAATTTATATGTCGTTGCCGAGCTTTTTACTGGATCCGAGGAGATGGACATCCAATTTGTTAGTCAACTCGGAATTAATTCTTTGATCCGTGAAGCTATGCAGCCATGGGATACTAAAGAATTAAGTAGATACGTGCACAGACATGGCGGCAAACCAATTGGTATGAATTTATTAAAAATTATGAATTTTCAAATAATTTATTAAATGATTTTTATTTTGATAAAAGGTTCGATTGACACTGCATGCCTTTCTGATTCATCAACGTGTATTGTAAGCGATGAACAGAAAGAAACGTGTCTAGTTATTCCAGTATACGGATCGAAACCACATGCTCTATTTATGGATTGTACGCACGATAACGAAACTCCACATCAGAAAAGGACAGCAGAGGATACACTTTCAACTGGCGCACTAGCCTCGATGAGTTCTTGTGCTGTTGGTAGCACAAAAGGTTACGATGAAATATTCCCATATTATGTTGATCTCGTAAATGAGACTCGTTTATATCCATTTTATGAAGAACCATTAGATATCGGTATAGCACGAGGTGAGTTTATACATTGTTATTCGATTATTTCTAGTCTAATTATTTTTTGCATTAGTCAAAAAGGTTTTGCAACATTTACATACCGAAATGGCATTGGATGGATATATCGAGACACATGTGCATCATGAAAATGACGTATGTATAATTAATAAGATCACGATCATATGCATTGAAATATGTGACCTGTTTTTTTAACTTCAACTCATTCTGGCTAGTACATTATTGTACATCGTTTCCATCCTGATACTCTGAATGGATACTTATTAGTTGCGCATAGCGCTTTCACGGGATTCACGATGGATCGTGGTGATCGTAAGTCTAAACATGTGAATTGTTTATCATAAAGTAACGCAAGACTCAGCCACTTTTCATTTTAGTAAATCCCATCAATCTGCGCGGTACATCGGCTGAGTTGCTGTTCTCGACTTATTTGGAAGTGAAATCTCGTAGCGTGGAAAACAACGAAAAATTTTTATCTGGATTACCTGCTACTTTAAAATCACTAAATGCGCCTATTCTACGACGACGTTCCGATACTAATGGTGAATTTACCGAAGTAATATTACCTAAGGAATTCCCTTCTGGCAGTGTAATGTTATTAAAAACTTGGGTTGATAATAAGCCTGAAGGTCTAGACGATTTTGTGGAAACTGGAACTGAAGAAGCTTTCGAAGAGTTAGATCTCGTTGACTTGAATATTGTTCTTTATCGTTGTGATGGTGAAGAAAATGACGTGACTCCTGGTAATGGCGTATATCACATCCCAAATTACGGTGATATCCCATATTGTGGTATAGAAGGCTTCATGTCAGTCCTTCGACCAATCATGAAACATAACGATTTAGGACATCCGTTTTGTGTCAATCTACGTGAAGGCCACTGGGCTCTCGATTATACAGTAGGAAGGCTTGAAAGGTGTTTATTTTTATTATGAATAATTAATTACTTTTATTTATGAATAATACGCTCAAGTAGATTTTATCATTTAAATCTTTAAGGCATCTGTTTATCGCCCCTAAATTGAAAAAACTGGTGGATTGGTATCATTCCCGATTCACAGCTATTAAGGCAGTCCCAAATTTCTTAGTGCCTAAATATTTTGCATTGACTATGAAAACTGCTCATAAAGCTGCTACTTACAGGGCATTTCAACAATTATCTCCTTTTGTTCTTGACGGTGGCTCTTTCATACATTCGCTCGCACTATGTTCTGTCCAGATGTATGGAACTGTTCTATCAACAGGTTTGCATCCAACTAAAAATGGTCCATCATGTGCTGCTGGATTACCTCATTTCGTCCATCATCACATGAGATGTTGGGGTCGCGATGTCTTTATTTCTTTACGTGGTCTATTTATTACTACTGGAAATTTTCAGGCCGCACGAGAGCATATTGTTGGATTCGGGAGTGTACTAAAACATGGAATGATTCCGAACCTCCTGGATGCTGGTCGTAGGCCACGTTATAATTGTCGTGACGCCACTTGGTGGTATCTTCAAGCCATACAAGAGTATTGTAAATTTGCCCCCGAAGGCTATGATATTTTGAAAGAATCTATTGCACGAAGATTTCCTAAAGATGATGAATTTATTGAAGCAGATGATCCTAAAGCTTATTCATACAAAAGCACTTTGCTAGAAATCATTCAAGAAATAATGGAACGTCATGCTCGTGGAATTCATTTCCGCGAATGGAATGCCGGCCCTAATCTTGATCATGCAATGAAAAGCGAAGGCTTTCAAGTTGACGTAGAGGTTGACTGGGATACCGGATTGTTACTTGGCGGAAATAAATGGAACTGTGGTACATGGATGGATAAAATGGGTGATTCTGCAAAAGCTGGTAATCTTGGAGAACCTGCAACTCCAAGAGACGGAGCAGACGTTGAAATCATTGGTTTATTAAAGTCCACTTTAAGGTGGCTAATCGAGTTGAATGAAAAAGGAGTATATCCATGGAAAGGTGTCGAGATTCAAGGTAAATTATTGAATTACAAGAAACGAGATCAACAAAATTTCTCATCACATTGGAATGCTCGATTTAATAATTTATGTAGATAAGAGCCTGAAAAACGAAGGAACTAAATTAATAACCTTTGCCCAATGGAATGACCTCATTCAAAAATCATTTGAAAAGAATTTCTACATACCGATTGGTACGACATTAATCTATTGTCGCTCATTTTGTTAATTTACCTTTTTCTCCGGGTTTGCATTGATTTATTCGTCATTCTAAGAATCAACGAGTTAACTATATTTGTTCTAAATCATAGATCCTAGTGAAGATTCAAAATACAATTTAAAATCATATCTGGTGAAACGAAGAGGCATCTATAAAGATACTCATAAATCATCTAATAATTACACAGACTACCAGCTTCGACCAAATTTCCCTATAGCAATGGTTGTGGTATGTAGATGTTGCTTATAATTTCACCAAAATAAAATTTCTAGTATTTTGTAAACGTTTCATGAACATAATAATAAATAGGCGCCAGAATTGTTCAACGAAGAACATGCTTTGAAAGCTTTAAACGTTGCACGCGAGATTATTACAGGTCCCCTGGGAATGCGCACTCTTGACCCAGATGATCCAGCTTATCGTGGAAACTACGATAACAGTAATGACGGAACGGACAAATCTGTAGCCAAAGGATGGAATTATCATCAGGGCCCGGTATATTTGTTATCTTTGTTTTAATGAAATGATCCAATTTTTTCAAAGAAATGATAGGTTTTTATTTCTATTTTAGGAATGGTTATGGGTTACTGGTTACTTCCTGCGCGCATATTTACATTTTGACATTCGTGTTGGTGCTGGCAAAGATAATGTAATTATATAATATAATAAACAAATATGAAAGCTTTTTTATCTTTATTAATAATAATTCTTCACTTCTTACGTTATTAGCCTCACGAAACGATTCATACCATTATGCGTATACTTTTGCCTCATCGTAAAATAATAGAGACTAGTGTATGGGCTGGACTGCCGGAATTAACTAATGCTAATGGAGCTGAATGCCATGATGCTTGTCCAACTCAGGCTTGGTCTGCTGCTACCCTTTTAGATCTATTTGATGACATTAAGAAAATTAAGAATGTGGAAGTCAATTTTGATGAATGATACATTTTTTTACTTTTGCGAATTTTGTAATTTTAATTTGGGTTGAAATGGGCGTCCGGTAGACATGCAGTTCGTCAGGATCATTTTTTAAACTGCTTGCTTTTAATGCTTTTTATTTATTCATATGTTATAAAATTTAACTGAATTCATGTATCAAAATAGCATACTGAACATCTAATTAATTCAGCTATCTCTGTTTAGTATTTAGATTCAACTTGCACAAAAATACGCATAGATCAAATTAATACCAATAATAATCACTTACCAATAAATAAATAAATAATTGCTTTTTTATCAAATCGAACTAAATCATATTATTTGATTAATTTCTTTAATAATGCATTGTTCGCTTCTTGCACATCCTCTGAATCTCGTTGAACTGTACGTATAAGTTGAGAAATGCCATGCTGTTCATCGGCCAATACCTTTTTAGATTAGAATATTTTTAATTAATAATGAAAAGTTTCGTAAATAATTTCTATATTTTTAAATTACCTCAATTATCGAATTCAATTGGCCCTCATCACCCACATTGAACTTTTGCGTAGTCGGTATCTGCGACCCCATCTGGACTTTCATCCGACTAACTTCGGTATTCAAATGATCCAATTTCTGTAATGATCTCTGTAGCTTTTGATGAATTCGTTCGAGCTCTGCTTGATTTCTTTCGTCTTCAGGGCGGAGTGGTTTTCCTTTGAGTTTCTTTAGGTGCAATTGTTTCATGACCTACCAAAAAAGTAAATAACGATATTAATGGTTAATGCAACATCTAGCTTAAGTAAAAATTTGATTTCGAAAGCTTTATTAAAAACAATCGTTACCGATATCATTCGTTCTGTAATTTCCAGAGTTTTCTGCTTACATCTGTCAATTTTTACTAAGTTGTCCATGTGATGTTTATCCTCCATATTTTTTATTTGTCTTTCTAGTTCCTGATAAGTTAAGGAACAACAATTTATTTAGCAATGAATTAGAATTTTAATATTGCAAAGTTTCAAGAGAGAGAACAATTTATCTCGATTACCTCAAGTTTGCTTTTAGACATTTCAGAAAACTTCTGCGCATATTCAATTCGTTTTTTGATTCCATCAAATCCAAGTGACAAACCTGGAACCATGCTGCTCGATCCATCCATTTCATCGAAGAAAAAGCAATAGATCATAAGTAAATAAAATAACTTATTTTATTTAATGAATGAATCGCAATACTACTTACCATGACGGATCAGGATTATTTTTTTGCGCCTGTTCCCATAATGCCGGCGACCGATCTGTTGGCGGTCCAACAGGTTTCATGTCTTTGGGGTGAACCATATTATAAAAATAAAACTTGTAATAATTAAATTTTAAGAATATTATTAATATATCAAAAAAAAAAAAACAGTCACAAGAAATTAGATAAAATAAAAACACCTGGAATTTATAATCATGATGATTAAGGTCCCAAGCAATGCCAAGTTCAGTCAACTTCTCATAAGGGGTTTTCTCAACTGGACCTAAAAATAATAAATAAAACAATAGACAGAGAGACCTGAGAATAAATATCTTTTGATATCGCGAAATCTCAATCGTTAGCTTGTAAGGCGTCATTTCAATTGTACACTATGTTATTGTTGTATTTGTGCACAAGAAGTGACGACTGCTTCGCAATTATTGTTAGACTGCAATTTCTTAAAAAACTTTTTTACCAGATTGCTGTTGCTGTAATTGTTGCTGCTGCGGTTGATTCATAAATTGAAATTGTGATTGTTGTTGTTGTGATTGTTGTGTATTTAAACCGAGATTCAGTCCTCCAGTTGTTGTTCCACTAGTCGTAAGTGAAAAAGGATTGCTCGTTACAGATGGTTGACTAAACGAAGGAAAATTTAGGGATGGAGTTGCCGTTGTCGAAGATGGAAAAGACCAAGTGGGTTTTTGACCGCCAAATGTACTCGTGGCAGATGATGATGGTTGTCCAAGTTGAAATGTATTAGATGGTTGTAATCCTATGTGCGTGTCGTCGATCAGATTATTTGGGATTAAATTTTCGATAATAAATCATAACGATAAATAATCAATCAATTACCTGTAGTAGTATTAGTAGGATTATTAGCAGTATTGGCAGAAGATGACAAAGATCCACCAAATCCACTACCAAAAGTATTATTAACGCTACCAGATTGACCAAAACCAAAAGCAGGTTTAGATGTAGAAGATTGTGGTTGATTAAATGAAAAATTACTTGTCTGGGTATTAGTGTTCGGTTGCGGTTGCTGCCCCGCACCGAACCCACCACCAAACGCATTGCCTGTATTTAAAGAGAGTGATGGTGGTTGTTGTGGTGTTTGTGTGTTGCCAAATCCAAAACCAATGGGATTCGATTTAGCGGGTGAACCAAATGCACCAGAACCAAAAGCAGGTGCGGGAGAAGCACCAAATCCTCCAACACCAGATCCAAAAGCTCCCCCTGTACTAGTGGTAGTGGTATTAGTGCCAAAGGTTCCACCAAACGCACCTGGTGCGGTTCCAGAGCCACTCGCGGTATTCTGGGGTTGACCGAAACCCGTGTTCGTCGTACCTCCGAAACCAAAAGAACTACCAAATCCTGCCCCGCTTGAACTCATTCCACCTGCAGGATTTCCAAAGGTATTTTGAGTGTTGCCAAATGAACTAGTGCTGCCAAAACCACTACTAGTTCCAAATCCTCCATTTGTTTGTGGTTGTGTTTGTTGTGCTCCAAAGCCAAACCCAGTAGAGCCAGTTGTTTGAGGCGCACCAAAGCTAAAACCTGTACTTGTTTGTTGAGTATTATTGGGATTTTGAGTATTATTACCAAAGCTAAAACCTGATCCTCCGAAAGCCATTATTGAAATTACGATAAATAATTGTTTATTTATACATAAAAATTTTCTATTATCACATTTGAAGTACTCTAGTCACGGCAAAAACGATGTGACCGGTCATGTGACTTCCGACCTCGCCGACTCTAAAACTGGTTCCGGAATTGTAGATTTTTATCTTGGACGTGATAGAATGCATAGATAGATATTAATAATAATAATAACTCTCATTTATTGATCAAAATATTAAAATATTTGAATATTTGATTTTTATTATACTGTATGTATCAAGTAATTTTATGCTTTATTTAATAAATAGTTGTAATGAGAGTAAATATAAATAAAATATTGAATATTCTCAGTTATTATTATCAGTATTGAAAAAAATAATCATAATATGTGACTCAACCTCATATGACCAGTGTGATTATAATTTAATAATAAATGCAGTCATAATTTAACAATAAAATTTGTTATAATAGATCATATCATCTATTAATAAATTATAACAGATTATATCAATATTATTAATAAACAAGAATAAAATATCACTTATAATTTAAATTAATAATTAGCTAAATAAAAAATAGAAGTAAGAACTGTATGTTTAACTCTAAGAACTCATCAAGTAATAGACAAAAAATCAAGAATTACTTTTAGATTTAAAAATAAAAAATTAAATTAATAAATTAATATATATATAAAATAATTTTACTAAAAACTTATTAAATAGTAAATAAAATTGAATTACTTAAGAATTTAAGTAAATTATTCTTAATCTAAAATAATAATATAAATATTATAGTATATATAATGAAATATTATATCTATATAAAATATTTTTCAAATATAAGTTTATATATTAATAGTATTATTTTTTTTATAATTTTATAATATCTTATAATATAAAACAGAATATAAAAATAATATAATTCATCTTAACAAGATAATAAAAAATCAAATTAAAATAGCTTTATTATATAAAAATTATATTAGTATATTATATAATTATATGATAATATTAGTAGCTATGATATAGTTATATTATAATCACTTAGTCTAGATTATATATAATGATAGAATTATATATGCATTATTATTCAAGTAATGATTATTTATGAGTTCATTATCATACTTAAGTATCCGTAATCTATAAAAAAATATAATAATAAATTTATATTCATATAATCATATTTGAATATTTACAACCTATAAAAAATATGATGATAATTTTATGTTCACATCATCATACTTAATTACTTTGATAGATAATAACTTTTATACTCTTTAGAAAATCAAATTCAATATCAATAGTATTTTAATCACTCATATAAAATTTTATATATCAGCTTAGTATTTCTGATTAATTTTTAGTAAATAGAAATATCTGGATTAGATTATAATACCCTAGTCTACTTCTTTTGCAGTTTTTATTATAATTCAAATTTAATAATATTACTTATATACTAGTTTAATAATTAGAATATAATTTATATATTATTTGATATCATATTCTGGCTTATCATTCTTAACTGATTTCCATTATAATAAAATAGCTGAGATAGGTTATACTACCAGTTTAGTAATTATAACCAATTTCTGTCATAAAAAAAATATACTAATAATACATTCATTATATATTATTATTTCTAAAGATAAATAATTAGAATATATGCTATCTAAATTATTATATATACATTATCTAGTTATATTATATATATATTATTAATTTACTTTATCTATAAGAAATCCATCCTAATTGTGATATATATTTTATAATATTATTGAAAAATATTATCAAATTGACTTTACCTATATTTAAGATATGTTATATTAAAGTATGCTAATTTTAATTACTAGAATTTTTAATATCAGAAATATATCTAAGAATAATGGATAGTAAAAAAGCAAATTAACTTTGACTAAATATATAAAAAGATAGATATATATCTATAAATAAATCTGATAATACCTATTCAAAAATATATTCAAAAATATATTATTAAATAGGTAGATTTTTCCTATATTTATTACTGAATTACCTATCTTAAAAATATATCTGAAAATATATTATAAAAATAGGTAGTCTTCTTCATTTTTTCTTATATAATATTACTGAAGTTAACTACTTCAAAAATATATAGTCAAATAGATATATAACTTCATATTTTCTTATATAATATTACTGAACTTATATATTTTAAAGACATATTATTAAAGTAAGTATATATCTATCCTGAAAAAAGTATAGTATTCTACTATTTTTCTTATATATTTTATCACAAATTACTATATTTAATCACCTATCTTAAAAATATATATCAAAATAGGTATATAACTTCTATTTTTTTTATATAGTCAACTCTCTATAAAAAAATATAATTAGGATAATCAAATTATATTCTATTATAAAGATATTTTCTTATAAAATTATTCAAGATTATATAATAAAATATTTTATAATATTTATTAATCAATCAAATACTGGTATTATTAATAAAATATCTGTTAAGTGATATTTATTTTTTTGAATTTTTATACATTTTTTCATAATCATATAATCTTCTCCTAAATAATTGCAATTTTTCTATATTAGAGTTTTCTTCTTTTAACTACTCTTCAAATTTCATGATCTTTTGCAATACTTCATATGCTTCAGTGATTGTAACTAAAGTTGAAGGGGATTTTTTCAATTTCTCTTCAGAGTCTTTAATTATTCTGATTTCAATTTTTGTATCTGTCAAAATCATTTTTACAATTTTATTATCTTCAAGAATATTTTCAGTCATAATCAGTTCATCTACTATAATAACATAATTATCAAGATTTTGAATAAGTATTTATGTATTTACTGATAGTTTATTAAATATTTCTATAATTATTAGTATCTTGAATTCTTGAATTTCTAATTCTTGAGTATTATAATAGATATCTGTTTTCTGCTAATAGTTTTATATTGTTATAGATGTTATCTCAAATCATGATTGAGTAATATAATCAATTACTTATTTAATATCAATATTTCTTTCAAATTGATGCAATACATATTAACAATATAATTATCTGTATTTGACTTTGAATGATTTGATAATATTTATATTTATAGGCTAGAGATACAATATCATATTAGATAAAAGATAATATAAAGTAATATTAATCAACTGAAGTGAATTTTTACCAGTTTCAATTTGATAAGAAGTTACATTATCAACTAAGAGAAGTATATAATAATTTTGAATATGAAATTCCTCATTTATATAACTTAGTCATGATTCCTATATATCCAAATATATTTACACTTTAGAATTAAACTTGTAAATAATAGATAGATTTATAATATTTATTCCTTTAAAATATTGTAACCAATTAGCTTATTCGTATGGCGCAGTAATAGCGCAGCTGCAGCATATGGCACAGTAATTGCCAATTACTACTAAATCAGGCAAATAAGTAATTTATATTAATTAATTTAATTTATAATTAATTCTATTTTTAATTTATATTATTACCTATATTTAGCCTTATTCAAATATTAATTTAGCTATGTGTGTCACACTTAATTTATAGTTTAATTAAATTAATAATTTCCTTATTAATTATTTTTATCTTTTCTTTCTTTTCTTATTTTATCTTTATTAACTTAATATTT